TCCAGAATGGCTGTGGCAAAGAAAAATACACAAGGCTTCTTCTCTGCACTGTCAGTTTCAACGTTTCCTTACAGTAATGCTGAATGTGAATGGTCATGAGGAAAATTTAAAAAAAAAAAAAAAAAAAAAAGATTTTAGATCATCTCTTTCAAATGCATCTTGCAAAAAATTTTCATCACTAAGAGTTGAAAAAAAAAGAAATGGAAAATTAAAGGTATGGTGGATAAAATGTTACGGTGGCGAAAGCTAAGGCAGTGACATCATCATGTCTCATTGAAAGTTAAATTTTGTAGATTCTATCTCCCTCCCTCCCTCCCTCCATTTGATGTTCACCATCAATTTTCTTATTGGTTTTTATTTGATCTGAATTGTTTTAATCTACTGTAACCATTTGTAGAAATTTCTATGGAAATTACCCAATATTTACTCAATTAATATTTGAATTTAATTTTTTTGCATCAATAAATGTTACATTAAATATACCTACATAATTGTATGCACATTAATTAGTAATTTTATTTTCATCATTTTAAGAGTATTTTATAATTCAAAGCTTTTCTTTCTTGCTCAGGGTTTTGTCAGTTTAAACAATTTTTTTTTTTTAATAAATGAAATGAACTAGCCAGAAATATTAGATTTAGAATACCTAATGAAATATTAATGTGTTTTATATCAGAATCATATTATAAACAGTTCTATAACTTGACTTATACATTGTAAAATGGATTTAAGGCAATTTAGCATTCTCTTGACGTATCCGCTGCAGCATGAAAACCTTCCAATTTCTCCCAGTTTTTAAAATGACCAGGTTGGCAGCTATGTTTGAAGAGCAGAAAATGAAAATAAATCTTCTTTCTCATGCAGTTATTGCACTTAAATATCTCTGAATCTTTGTAGCTGTGCAGGAAAAGGAAGTCATATCCCATAAACACTTTTAATTGCTAAAGTTGCTCCTGTGCCATGTTTAAAGTTCATAATTCTTCATTCTTTAGGTGTTTCCATTATTTTATACACCCTGTGAATGTTAAGGGTTAAAGAAAATATATGCTTTTGAATCAATATCAAACTCAGGAATATAGTTTGTCTGTATTTTCCATGCTCTTTTCATTCATTGCAATCAAAATCTAAGGCTTAACTAATGGTTGGCAGTGCATTGTTTGGTTAAATTTAAAATGTAAATAAAGTATATAGTATAAATTCATGAAAAACTCCATGTTAAAAGAAGCAAAAATTTTGAGTAATCATATTCAATAATTAAATTTTACTTAATTCAGCTTTTTCATTCAGTATTATGTTAAGCTTCTTGTTAGCCATGTAGGTATTTATATATACAGTCAAAAGTCGTTAATCTGGACTCATTGGGACTTCGGCAATTCCGGATTATAGATCATCAGTTTAAATCTGGTAAGATGGCAGGCAGAAATTATAAAATTAAAAATATGAAATCATAATTTATGAAATAAAAAAACAATTATGATCTTAAAGGATATCAAAATTTACAAAAAAAAAAAAAAAAAAAAGCTTTATATTTATTTGTTTACTTTATTAAACATTTCTTTCAATGTAAGTTGTTTAATAACATAACAGACATAATTTCTTTTTCAATTACAAAGTTCCGCTGTTCAAGTCCTATAATTGCTGTGTCGAGAATACCGACTAATTTTTCAATCGAAATTTTTTCGTTTTCAATAACCTCTGTATCACTTTCTTCTTTATCGAAAGTGAATTATAATATGAGGAATTTGATTTAAATCATATCAAAGACGGAATACATCGAGATGAAATACTACATTTAGTAAGGAATTATAAGCGAAATAAAATAAAAACATCTGCCCTGAAGATAAGGATAGTGCTGACAGATTAACTTCCAATTCATTGCGCGCCGCGGCATTTCGAAGTCCCCCTTCCCCCCTGGGCTGCAGAGCAGCGTGAAATTGATAAACAGATTTCGGAATGGTTTGAGAAACGAAGGATATGCCTTTATCCATTTTTTGCAGCAATTCCACTTTTTGCTTAATGGACTTCCAAACATACTTTCGCTTTGTAGATCCTTTACATATTAGTAAATACATATCGGAAATTCTATTTGCAGGGTTGCCACGCTACCGGGAGAACCGGGAAAAGTCAGGGAATTCGAAAATTGACCAAAATATTCAGGGAAAAGTCAGGGAATTTAAGTATTTTTGTCAAAATCTGGAAAAGTCAGGGAAGTTCATACAACGATTCCGCCAAAAAGAGCGATTTTTGCTCCGACGTTGGAAGAGGTAATTTTTTTCGCGAATTATGTATCACGTGAGTGTCATTCGTGTAGCTGGCATAGAGCCAATTTTCGCAGCTCCAATTTGATTGTCTGTTAGAAAGGCAAAGCAACTTTTGGTTTCCAATATTCTCGAGAATCGCATGTGCAGTGCATGAACTAAAGAAAGTACCTGTTCTCGTATAAAACAAAATGGGTTTAATCCTAGTATGAAGGTTAGAATTAAAGAACGGTACCATGGAGGTTAGAATCAAAGAATATGTATTGTAAAGAAGGAAAACCTCTCTGCAACAGACGTGGCTGTGGCTCCGTTCCATCATAGAGGGAAAACAGCTGTGCATGTCTGATATATCTGTTGCCAAAGCTCGAAACCGGTGTCGAAGTTCGAAGGTCACTTTATCAAGAGTTCATAAAATGAATATCGTTTAAAATTTCTTTAATCACTTGCGCTAAAAAGACCTGCCACGCACGTCAAGATGCTTTTGTCTCAAACCGCGAGCGACGTGAACACGTCGATAAGCATTTATCGCAAAAATGAAAATAACGTGGTGCACACGTCGCCTAACAACAAGATTGTTTATTTCTCGAGTTACAGCTCTGGATTGCACTCGCAGATGCGAAGCAGCGTAAACGAGACACTTTACCGCTTGTTATATCGTAGCGCACGGCACCGCAACCGTGAAGTTTAGTCTTAGCGCAAGTGGTTAAACTCTAAAGGGAAAGAAAATATTTTTTGGCGCAAGTAAATTAATTCACGAATTAGTTATTTTCAGGGAAAAAAAAAACTACGAAAATCCGTTTTTAAAATTATTGCGAAAATTCCAAGAAGAAACGTCCTTTGATAAAACGTTTCTTCTTGGATTTTTCGCAATAATTTAAAAACGGATTTTCGTAGTTTTCTTTTTTGTCAAAAACGCGTTTCTTCTTTAACACGCATGTTTATCAATTTCCTGTACACATCGCGGAGAGGAAAATTCTGGCCGCCAGGTTCCGTCGCCAAATCCCTTGGCAAATTTTCCCTCCGCATTCTAGCGGCGTAATAGCATTTTACTTGTATGGAACCTTTTTCTTCTTTACATAGACGTTCTTTGGTTAGAATAACCTCCAATGATTCTATTTAACCTCCAGGTACGGTAACACAAGATTTGGTGTCATTATAATGCGCAGGTAAACGGGTCATTTTGGTCTTGGCGACAATTTTCAAAATCGTGCCAAAGCCTTACCGTATACTAGAATTTTACCGCAAAATCTTTTTAAACCTTTTTTTTTTTTCTTTTTAATAAATACCTTGCCATTTTGCAGTAAAATAAAAAAATAGTAATCAGTCATCTAGGCTAGCCATGTAATATAACTATATTCGCTAAAATATCGTTGATTATTCTAATTAAATTTTTAAGTAATTATTTTATTTTATGTTATTCATATAATTTAATGTTTCTTCTTCCTTCTAAATTTATTTATTATTAGTAAATAATACTTTCCAAATTTCAGGAAATTTTCTCTGTCATAATCCTGAAATTAATTCTAGCAGTATGATGACATACCATCACGAAATTTAATGCACATATTTTTTCCTTATGTATGCTGCGAAATAAATATAAAATACCTCAATTTATTAAAATAGATTTCTTTCTTTCATTTAGCTGCAGAATGTCTGCAAAAAAAAGCCTTATTTTATTCCAGATTGGGAAGATTCTAATTTCAATTTTCAGTGGAGAAAACAACAACTCTTATAATTATATTTGTGTTTTCAAGTGTTAAGGTGCCTTTTAAGAACATACCTCACACAAATTAAATTTACCTAGAATCTAACCTAACTATTTAGCATTGCATTGTGATTTATAAGGACCAGATTAGCCTCGTGTTGAACTGGTGAGATCATGAGTAATAATTAAATAAAACATACATTTGTTATCCAATATATATCTTAAATTTTATTAAGTTTCTTAAGTGGAAAACTAAACAAAATTATCAAACAAAGTATACCAAGAATAATTAAGAATAAATGTCCTCTGGGATTTATTAAATAATTAAGTGAATTTGCTACACCATACAAGTAATACCATAATTAATTTACCTCTTAGCACAGCCAATGTACATTACGCGGATAGACTGGAATTTTCTTGAAACACACCTGGAAAACCTGGAAAAGTCAGGGAATTTCATTCTCCTGTTTGAGCGGCAACCCTGTATTTGACATAATCGAAAGTTCAAGCTTACTTTTATAAAATTGCTCTAACAGTCTGCAAAAAATAATAAGCCGGATCCAATTCGAAGATTCAGGAACAACGGCAACCTGCAACATTAACTGAATTAGATAATTTTAGCTTAGCTTATACCGTCCGTTATACATTAAACGCACAAGCGTATACGTATTACGCACATGCGCACACGCATATTCGCAGCCGTAAAAGTCTTACGTGCATGCGCAGAAAGTTTGTAGCTTTGAGGTCCGGATTATAGATCATTCCGGATTATGGGATTATGGCGAATTAACGACTTTTGACTGTATATATTTTTAATTTACCAATTGTCTTATAATTAACTGTTTAAATTAGTTTTTTTGGCTCGTCATTCACAAGAAATGGATGTCCTGATTAAAGAAAGATGCAATTCTAAGTGTGTAAATTTTAGTGTAGTGTAGCTTAAACGTAAAATTTATGCTCTATTTATGTGTTAAATCCCTTTTCTGAAGCTGACCTTGATAGCATGTAATGCTAAATCTAATGCTTCCATCCTGCAGTTTATCTCAAGTTACAATCCAGACTGAGTCAACAACAGATTGCATGTCTGAAACAAGTAGTTCTAGTACATCTGGTATTGGTTCCACATTACATACTGTTACCTGGACTCCACCACATAGTGTTGAAGGTTCCACTCCAACTCATACAGAGGGAACTCCCTCTTTCACTGAATCTAGTTCAAGTGGTGATGCAGGTATTTATGCATCTTTATTTAATTTTGGAAAGGTGGTTTGGAAAGGTTAAAAAATGTAAGTATAGTATTTAACTTAAAGCCTTATTAGCCCCGTTCACATGCAACGCTCCTTCTCACAGCTGCCGTTAGCAAGAGGGAAAAAAAGACATGAAAGAGCTTCGCCTTTAGACCCGTTCAGAAGACCACCGCCTTCCATCCCTTTATTTACACGTAAGCCTCTGTGAACAATCACGTCTCAGAACTGGCAGATTTCTAATACTGTTTACACATTTTTAACGTTGTTTACTGTTAATTCAGAAGTCAAACAACAAAAATCAATCAAATTTGTTGTTTGACTTCTGAATTAGTATTTATTCGGCGTGTTATTGTGTCTTAGTTGTTTACTGTTATTAATTTTGTAATCTGTACTTTCACAACTAGTACCTGAACTTTCGTAATGGTTCCTGAAAAATATATGCTTTTTAATTATTATTATTATTATTATTATTATTATTATATAAGCTGTTATTTAGTTCACTCTTAGTGCTTGTCCCTATGGTTAAAAGATGGTCATGGATTTTTAAACTGCTTCCCGGTAAAAAATAGAACTAAAACTTTGTACATACACTGCTTGTGGATGTGGTGTCACGCTTTTGATTTTTAGAGGAATAGATTTTTTTTCAAATTTAAAGTTGAAACGATTTTTTGGAAATATAAATAAACTGAGAATCTCAGAATATTATAATTTGCACCATAACACATTGTGGAGGAAAACAAAATTAAACGAAATTTTTAGCATAATATTTTTAAAAATATTTTGGGAGAATTTTTGAAAATCATTCATATTTTTAGACTTTTTGACGTCCATTAATTTTAAAATTTCATATCTAAAAATATATCGGTTACAAACTTCCGACATTTTCACAGCTTATAAAACCTTTTCGCATTTAAAAAAAATGATGAAGGAAATCAATTGGATGATTTTTTTTTTACTTTTTTGAAAGATATGCAATGAAGCAGAATGGGAAATATTGGTTCTTCTTGGGCATCAATTAGAAACATCGGTTTCAAAGTAATAATCTCATTATACCACACTATTTTTATGACATTATTTATGCTATATAAGTTTTTACTGTTGCCAGTTGTTAGTTCAGCGTGAGATTGGAGATATTTCTGAGTTAACTTTCTCTTAAGATGCGTCTTGCATTCCGTTGTGTTTTCGTTCTTATTAGATTGAAGCATAACTACTGATTATACTTTAATTAATACAAGTGACGTTAATACAAGTGATGTTCTAAACACTTGTACGAGTATTTCTGTGGAAAATTCCAGAACTTTGAAGTGTTTCTGTTGATAAAATAAATTTAATTAAGCTATCATCGGATTTGAAGTGGCAATGACAATCATTTACGAAACTATTATCAATCTATTATGAACAATACCGGTATGCATGCAACAATATTATAATTAATTAATGTAATAAAATTGTTTTGAACGTGTTTTACAAAACAAAAACAGGTAAAGAAAAATTCTGCTTACGTTTTACGAGTTTTCGCAATTTTTCTGGCCACATAAGGTTTTAAAAAAAGGTTCGTAATTTATGTTTATATTTACCAATTGAATAAATAGCACTAGGTTCGATTTATATATCTATGTGTGTACTGAAATTCAGTAATAAAATTTTAAAGATTTGAAATGATTAAATGTCTATTTAGACAGTTTGTATTCTTTAAACTGCAAATGCAAACTGAGAAACCTTTTGCATTTTTTTCAATAAATCCTTTTACTTAAAGTCCTAAAACATATACAGGTCTGGACTAAATTTTTTATTATTTTTACTGCTTATTTAAAATTATATACTTTACAGAAACAAGGATGGGTTTTGCAAAATACTGAAAGGAAAAATTATTTGAAATGAAAATGTGACTGAGATCATATTTGTTTTAAAGATTTTAGATAAAAGTGTATAAAAAATAAATAGATAAAAGTGTAATAAAAGTGTATTTTTTCTCAGAAACTAATTCACTAATTGCAAAAGTAAATGTCTTTATATTTTGTACAGAGCAAAGGAAATTTCATAGTAGCTGTGTAGCAGCCGACAGCAGGAAGACTAAATCATTATACTTCAGCTTAAGCCAGTTTATTAAAAATTCTTAATTAGTGTTAATTCATGGCATTGTATCCTGTACTGTAATGACATTATTCTACCATTCTGTGATTCTTTCTGTGATAGGTAGGTTCTGTTAGCAGATTCTTTTGAAATGTTTTCTGAGGCTTGAAATACTCTTATGGGCTAATTTTTCTTCTAATTCAAATAAATGAAACCAGGTGTTATAAGCAAAAGATTCATTTTAAGTAAATGCCAAAATTAATGTACAAAGCCCAAAATTTTGACTGTAGTAGTAGCCATGGAAAAATCTCACGTTTACCCATCTTTTCTTGTGGCATAATTTTTAATGATATTCTCAGTCAGGCTTTATATTTATTGTATACTGAAATGCATCAAGGTTACTAATTAAGAGAGCCGTTTAGATGTTATCTAATAGCCATTAAGGACTAGATGTAGTCAGAGTATAATATTGGGCATGGTTCTTTTCAGACATAAAAGTATGTTGTGCAGTAAGCATTCACGAAGTAACAGATTTCTGGGAATAAAAGTAATCATGATGAAATATTTGTAGTCTCATTTTCACTACTCTGTTGCATTAAACTTGCTAGGTACAGCAGTAGGAGAGAATCCTTAAAACTGGCCATCCAGGAGTTGAGCAGTAAAGTATGAAACAGTATTTTTCAGTTCATTAATGGATGTCTTCTTCACATGCATTTGTAAAATCTAAACACATGTTGTGCTGAGCTAATTTGAAAACACTGCAAAGCTGAAGCAATTAGTTATTTAGTCTTTCCATATACTTTGTAATGTTATTTTGTTGAAACTGATATATCACATTTAAGTACCTTTTGCTGTTTTAATTCATTACAGTGTAAAACATTTTGTACATTTTATATACATTGTTTTGTATTCACTTAGCTTTTCATGGAGGGGGGGCTGGAGAATGGATGTTTTTAAATGAGTTTTAAAAAATGATGAAAACTTTCATTAACCTTTTCAGATGTGTATGGTTTAAGGGCAAAAATGTGCACTCATTGTGCCATTCTGATTTATAGTTTTTATAAATTTCTTTAGTTTCAAGGAAGTTATAAACAAAGAATGAAATTTAGCAGATATTTGTTAGCAGTGAAGTTTGTTCTAACTATGAAAAAACTTTGTAGAAATTAGAAATCAAAGTCATCAAGAAAAAGCAAGGTGGTTAAAACAACATAACTGCATAAGAATTGAAGTAAAATAAGTTTATTGGAGCGCTCTTTTTACTTCCTTGTACAAAGTAAAAAGGAAGTATTGTAATTGCGAAAAGTTTCAGGCATCATATTTCAACGCAAATACCCTTTTCCACCGCTATCGAATGCAATTTAACAATGTTTTTGTGTGACATATGTACATAAGGACAGAATAAAGGACTCTTTTCCAAACAAAAAAATTATAAAACTGCTTTAAAATGAATTCTGAAGAGAATTTTTCGTGGCATCTGTACGAACGTATGTACGTACGTATTTCGCAAAACTCAAAAACAAGTAGCCTCAGAACGTTGAAATTTTGTACATAGGACTGCTATAACATGTAGATGTGCACCTGGTATTTTGGTTGCAATCGGCCACACCAAAAAGTATATATATATCCACTCTGTTACTCGGCTTAGTGATCTATTTCTTATAGGCTTGTAAATTGTGCATTTTTTCCTTTAAAAATTATTGAAATATGTTGTTCTTATCTTCTGGTTAAGGCTTTTATGCCTTTAGTAAATCTGTATGCAATATTTTTAGAATTATTAACAATTTAAAAGTTGTTCAAATGCCACCAAGCCTAATACGTTTTGCCATGGTGGCCATTGCTTGTTTACACTTTAAACATCAGAATGGTAGATTTGTTGCCAATCTAGAGAAAGTAAGCTTCACAATAACAACGATAACGCCTTCTTTTATAATTGCGAATTAAATCATACTTAATCCATTCTGGAATTTATTCGAGGAAATAAGTGTTTTTAAGATTTACTTCATAATTTTCAATACAGACATCTTGAATTTTTTGTATTGTATGCCTTGTCGCGAAGTGAGAATGAATTAAATTGAATGAGAAGTACTGAATTGTCTGTGAAAAACTCTTCCTCTTTTGCTGTTGTTCTTTGCTTAATTTCTTTTATACATTGTTTTAGATTTATTATAGTATTTGAATAGAACATGTGGCAAAAATTAGATAATTCTTAAGATGATATAAATTTATATGCATTCTGAGTTATGTTATGAATGAAATTAATGCTGTTAAGTGAACCTAGGGCCAGAATGTCGCTATGGTAAACGAATATACTGAACTTTAAAGAGTGCATTTATTCTATTGTGGTTTATGTATTATCGTCAAAGTAGATTTAATTCAATCCAATAAGTTTAAATGAAATGCAAGAAAAAATGGGTATAATTTAATATTCCGTACAAGGAAGTCGCATGGTGAACACATCAGATTTTTTGTGTCTTAAATAAATTAATAAAGAAATTGTGTTTTGATATAACAACATTATATTTTTATATAACATATATTTGATCTGCTCTAAATCTCGTAAAAACCAATGTATAGCTGTTTTGTACACTGTGAAAGAAATGGCAATGCAGAAACTTTGTAAGAGGTCATTTTTAGAGTACAGGCTGCAATAGCAGCAATTAGCAGACCTACATTTTTAGTGACTTCATTTTAACTACAAATAAACACATTCCTCAACAGTGCCTAGGTATGGCAGTTTAATTTTTTAGTTGGTTTTTTTAACAGTGGGCTGTTTGATTATTAAACTTTATTTCCTTGTTATACAGAATGTTTTCTCTTGCAGAAATAAATATGCACTACCATTTCGGTAAATTTTCTTACTCATTGACAAGCTGTTAATACTATTCATTACTAGGATTCAGATAAAATTCTC